TTTTCGCTGAGCACGCCGCCGGTCAGAATGAGCGCGGCGAACGCCGGCGCGTGCGATTGTAAGCCGTCAATTTTGGCATTCACGAGCTCGAGGATGGTGCGGAGGGATACGAGCAGTCTGTGCGCGAGCGCGTTGATGCGTGCGCGGATGGCTGTCTATATGCACAAGACCACCGATCATCAGTATAAGTTGTATATGAGGAGGGGGTAAGACGCACCTCTTTCTTGAGCTGCCCATCCACAGCCGCCTGGTCCGCTTTCGACAGCGCCTTGCCCGTCCCGGCCTTCTTACTCGCCAGACTCTTCCGCACCTCCGCGTCCCACTTGTCCAGCTCCGCGCCTTTGCCCTTGCTCGTGGCCACGGCGGCGGGCTTTTTAGCCGCGAGGACGTCGATGAACGTCTCGCCGTCGGGTGTAGCCCACATCCCCATCTCGTCCGCGCTCAGAGCTCTAACGCTCGCGCCGCCCTCGTCGAGCGCCTTCCCGACTCTCTCCCTGATCTTCCCCAGCACGACTTTTCCCTCAACAAACGCCAACACGCTCTGCGCCCTCAGCCCCGCCCCTTCCATCCCCTCGCTCCCCTCCTCGAACGCCCTGTCAACCTCCGCAAAAAGCGCGTCCAGATGTTGTCGCACGACTTTGGCCGGATCGACGCGCGCGCGGACGCACAGGTCTATCCATCCTTGCCGCGAGGGGCCCGCGATGGAGGGGTGGTGCGCGATCACTACGAACGGGACGAGGAGGCTTTCGCGTTCGGAGTCGGGGACTACGTCGCGGATGGACGAGACGGTCGACAAGAATAACACTAACCGCGCATAGGGTGGCGTCTTGTCTTTATCTTTCCCCTCGTCCTCAGCCGCCACGCTCTTCTTCGATGGCGAAGAAGCGGGGCGTGTGGCGTATGAGACGAGCGCGTCGTGTACGACGGAAGCAACCGTCCCCGGGAACAAGCGCACCAACCTCTCCACCCCGCCCAGCGCCTCCTTCCTCAACCCCGGCTCCCGACTATCGACAGCAAGACTCAGCAGCGCGCTCCCAATCTGCCTTCTCAGCGCCTCGCTCGCGTCCAGCTCGGCGTGCAGCCGCACGCCCGCGCCCTCGAGCGCGCGCACGAGCCACAGCGCGTCGTCCCCGCCCGCCAGCACCGTGCGCGCGATGGATTTCTCCGCGAGGAGCCAGCTCGGCTTTCCTCCTACACCTCCCAAAGCCGATAGCACGGCATTCTTGGCCACAGCGTCGGCCGTAGACTCGGAGCGGGATAAAGGGCCGAGAAGCGTAGCGGCTGCGAGGAGCGGCTCGAGCTGCCCGCTCGCGTCGGTCGCAGAAGACGGTTTCGCCGCGACTGCGGTCTTCAGCACGTTCTCGAGCGCCGGTAAGACGGCCTTTGCCAGCGCCTGCGCGGGCGGTGTAGAGGGCGTATGGAGCGTCCAGAACGCACTGGCGACGAGCACCGCGAACGCGCGGCGGGATGCGGGCTTGGTGCTGCCCACTTCCTTCTCGATCACTTTCGCGCTGTCCTTCAAGTCTGCATTCTCGGAAGAGAGCATGAATGCGAGGTGGGGCGCGAGACCGCGCGCGAGGGCGTCGGAGGGGTCTTTGGAGAGGATGGATATGCCCGTGGAAGTTATGGCGGGACTTAGAGTGGGCGAGGGTGTGAGGGCGCTGAGCATGGCGTAGAGTGTCGGTTTATCTGGGCCGGCTTTGGCTCCCAGTAACGCGAGGAGGTCGGTTGCGGCCTTTGCGCGGTCGGCGTCGGCAACCTTTGGTTGAGCATCGTCGGAGACAGAGGTAGAGGAAGGGGAGGGTGATGGTGGGGAGACGAGGACGGAGAAGAGACGCGTGGCGGCCGTGCGAACTGTGGCGTTTGCGGATTTTGTTGATGCGAGCGTGGGCGTGAGGAGGCGGGCGAATGCTGGGCTTGGGAGGGGATGGTTGTATGCTGGGATGAAAGACGCGAGTACTGTGTCATCATATATTAGTATAGTAGATGTTGGGAGGGTGAATGAGACGCACCGTCCAAAGCGACCTCAGGACTCCTCAGCAAACTCTTATCCGCAGCGCCCAACACACTCTCCAGATCCTCCGGCCCAAGCGTGCCGACGAACGCCCTCAGCGCGTCGAGTATATGCGCCGGCACGGGTGTGCGCGCGCCGAGGACACTCGTGGTGTATATCCCAAGCAACGCGCTCTTCTTTTCTACCGGGAGGTCGGTCCGGTTCTCGATTGCGATGCAGAGTAAGGGTAGAGCGGAGAGGCCGAGTGAGCCTTTTGCGGATGTGAGCAGGGCGGAGAGGGCGTCGTCTAGCTGTGCGGGTGCCTGTATGCTACATCAGTATATAGTATGATAAATAGGGTAAATATACGCACAGATCGCAGTGCCCTCCTAGCCCTAGCCTCCGCCGCCTTCCTCACCGCACCCCGACTCTTCGCCCCCGGCCCAAGCACCGCATCAAGCAGCACCGCAAGCGCACCCAACAGCGTCGCAGCCGTATGACTCCACCCCCCGTCAGCATGCACCACAACCGTATACAGCCCCGCGGCCCAGCTCTCCAGCACGAGCACACTCGCGCTCGCATGTCCGCCCGGCTTGCCCGCGACTCTCTTCGCCTCGTTGCCCACCCAGCCCGCGATCTGCTCGGCTATACCCAGCCTGTCCCCGCGTGCCGCGTCGCGCTTTACGAGCGCCGTGCCGACGTCTTCTACGGCCGTGCGCGAGGCGGAGTCGGCGTAGCGCGGGTAGGTGAGTGTGAGGGCTTTGAACAGATCCAAAGTTTGAGAGAGCGATAGATCGGCCTGTTGCGCCAGTGGAAGCAGATCGTGCCGCAGAAAATGCACGCGCGACGCCGTGCTGGACGACAGCAAAGCGTGCGTCAGATGCTCAAGCGAGCGCGGCCAGTCGTCGGGCGAAAGCACGTATTCGACCGCGCCGGAGCCTTCATCGTCGCTCATCTCCTCTGCCGCTACCGGATCGGTCGGTGTAGATTGGGAGAGCCAGGCGCGGATGTCCTGCTTGGATGTGTGCGCCGGCTTTGTGCGCGCTTGGAGACGCGCGAAGGTGCGGATCGGGAGAGGCACGGTGACTAGTCGAGAGAGAAAGTTGTGTGCGGACGCGTCGATCGACGCGACTCGAGCCAGGCGCGTGGTTCGGGACCGGAGGGATGTCCGTGGGTGTCGTTCCGCGTCTTGTGCTTGACCGTCATCTCGTCTTGCTCAGGCGCCTACCGTATCATGAAGCAACACTATCATGGCATCCCCAACCTACTCGCTCGAAGGTCCATGCGCTCTTCAAAGCCTCAAAGTAGTCTGGATGTTCGACCACGTCTGTTCTCGATTCCATCAGTCTCGCCGAGTGCGCCAGCAACCTCAAGGGGTGGATCATCTCGGTCCTGCGCAACGCACGAGATACTGTGCTAATCAACAATATCCGGCATTGAAGGTTATATATATTCAAATAAGCAAAGGACGAAGTGCAGCCTCAAGATGCGGATGGATGTTTCCCTTCCTGAAGCGTCAGCATTGGCCAAAACAGTGATCTCCTTCGCCTCCCACGGCTGATATATCACGCCACGCAGCCACTCCGCCAGGCATCCTGGGAGGCACTCTAGGGGAGAATCGAAGATCGCGACTACCGCGATGGGGCGCCACAGCGACGTGTATCAACATGTGTTGTAGAGCTTCCGCGGCGCCTGTCAGCCTCATATAAGACTCGGCGACAGATGACTTCGCCTCCCCAGCCTCACGCGGACATATGGAACCAGCTTCTCGACAAGACTCCCGGTCGTCGTCGGCAGATCCGGACACCATCTGCACTCTGTCGCCTCTCGAATCGGTCACGATCTCCTCGCTATCCTCGGTTTTGTCTGAAGAGGACGACGCGATGGATAGTATCGCCTCACCTTTGCCTGCAGTACCTTCTCTATGGGTTGAGAAACATCGGCTATACTACTTTGAAGAAGCCAATGTACAAATTCTGGTAGGAAGGTCTGCTGCGTATGTCACACCAGCGCTGACGCACGTCGTACTGATCCACTATGTCTTGTACAACGTCCCTCGCACTGTTCTCACTCTTCATTCCCCGTGGTTTCGCGAGCGACTCGAACAGCCCGCACAGCCTCTTCCGCCGGGCTGGATCGTACACACATCATCATCCGGGGACGACATCTATATCAATCACCGGCTTGAAGTCGTACAGGCCCAACGCCCGGACGCATCGCTGGTGGAGTCATTTCCAGAGGCATACTTCATCTTCGACGTGTCAGCCTTCGAGTTCGACGCGCTACTGGCGATACTCTTGCCTGGGTAAGCACTTCCGTTACAGAATACGAGTACAATGCCGCTAACTTTGACGTGCGAAGCAACTATAACCATCGTGCGCTCGACAAAGAGCAATGGGTGGCAGTTCTGAAGCTCTCGACCCTTTGGCGCTTCTCATCTGTGCGATCGCTTGCTCTACGCTACTTGACCCCTTTGCTCGCCCATGCGCCGTTGGAGCGGCTCGTCATAGCACGAGCGTATGGAGTGGACAGTTGGGTGGACAGTGCCATCCAAGATCTTCAGTTGCGCGATACGCCGTTATGTAGTGACGAGGTGGGGCAGTTGGCACGGGCGGACGTCGTGCTCATCGCACGCGCGCGGGAGCGGCACGCCGAGCAGCGCGGCAAGCTGAGCTGCGTGGAGGACCTGCGCCGATATCCGTACTTCACCGAAGCGTTCAAGGCAAAGGACGTTACTGATCAGGAAACAGCACGCCGACAAGCGAAATACTGTGACTTTCAACCTGACCGGCATACAGCCCTTTGCATAAGTCCGTGAAAGTTCAGCTTTTTTCTACACGGCGCTTGTGCCTGAATAACGAGCGCACTTCCAGCTGTTTGCAGAACGATAGGCCACCCTACGTTCTACACACACACAGATTTGCTCCACTTCGCGCCGGCCGTCGACACGGGAATGGCATCA